CCCCATTTCTGCAGGGAACATCCTATCTCCCCATTTAGTTCACCGTCCATGTCAAAAGGCTGGTATACTATACCCACTTATTGGGTATCGGATATTGATAAAAGTTATCGCATGGCAATATTTTATTTAGCACGATTAGGGTCACGTCTATGTGTTTCTGATAGTGTGGTCGGAATGTTATATCAGGATACGTTATTTGATATGAACTAGAGGCTTCGGATAACACTGAATGTTTGTAGATTTTTTTATTTGTGTCGTGCCACATTGTAGTCTACCACATTCATTGGAAAGAAAGTGTTTACTTGTCACACTGTTATTAAAAGGCATAGAGGAATTGCACTTGTAAGAAATTTTAACGGTGATATACCTATTTATTAACCGCACCTGTAGTCCTAGGATGAGCGCCGCGATAATCGGTTATCACGCCATTTTATCGATTTTGCCCATACATTTTGCCATAAGAGTATATCACGGCGCGCATCCTAGCCCGGATCCTAGCCAGGATGCGCGCCACGATAAAGTATAGAGGCATTTTATCAAGTTTGCGCGTTAAGCCCATTATTGTCGTCTAAAATCGTCGATAAAATTTTATCATGGCGCGCATCCTAGCTCAGCTGGAAAGACTTAATATTATTATGCCACATTAAGACAAAGCTCTTGAGTCAATGACCTTAAAGCTAGCGCGTTTTAGTTAATTAATAAAGCCATTCATTATCAACTCCAAAACATCACAGCGTAGTAACGTAAACAACGCTACATAATTACATATTTTGATACGCTGTAAAGTAAACCTCTTGTGTGAAGTGCGGTTAGACTGATGTAGTGAAAGCTTTCAACTTTATTGATATTTCATTTCATTATTGCGTGGCGATAAAGTGGTGTATAATTTATTAGCGTATGAAAACAGAACATCTAATTGCAAATGATATGAGGCAACTTTTGTTAAGTGAAGTGATGAAACAAACATCAAAATATTTGTCAAATTGATTACTTTTTATTACATAATTTCTATCAGTGTGCTTACCATGAGTTTACGTTAGGTGTGTTCGCTAGCGACTGCGTAAGAAAATGACATTAAATGTATGACATATTGTGCAGCGCCCCTAGCGGCTACTTTCAAGACATAAAATCATATTTTTTTTGACGTACTCGCTACCGAGCACACCTAACGTAAAGTCATGGTAAGCACACAGTGGCTATTACTTTACTTTTCGTTAAGTTGAAAATTGAATAATACATGTTATGAGCCAAAGCACACGATGCGTTGCGGTGCCTCACCGCAAATAGTTATTTCTATGTAAGACGACATAGCGAAACCGCTCCGGCGTCGCACCGCTACCGCAACGCATCGTATGTTTTGGCTCTTACCTACAACAAAACGTATACAAGCTAACTTGAATTTTTTACTAGCAACTATCAACAGACCTCTTCCATTTTCCTAAAGTGCTATCAGCTCGCTGTCAATTAGTGTTTGGACTAACCTCCTTATTTAGTGTCAGTCTACATCGTTCATCCGGATATTAGCGGGTAAATGCACAGCGCAAATCCATTACCGCCCGATGGTGCATGTGATGGCTGTGCAAATATTGCAAAGAAAATAAACCATAGCACGTAATAAACTACTTTGAAAAAATACACACAGATAATGGACATTATGCCTTTGTTTTCAACTAATAATAATATGAAATTAATAAAGGCACCTGTTCGTGTTTATTTGTAATGCTACCATAATCTACGAATATTCGAATTTCATAATTCGCAATAATTATGTTCAGGACGCAACTTTTAAATAGGTATGTACCTAAACGAATTTAACTCAAGAATTTATACAGAAATTACGCGGAATCCTACTCGGAGAAGTGCAGAATAAATTTTATCGAACACATGCCTACCAATAATGGTTAAATGATCAAATGAATGGTCGCAGCTTTGATTGTACCTATTTGGCGGAATTATTGTCGAACAAATTGGCATTTCTTCTATATTTTACCTACAGTCCACGGTACATCAAACTACACATTTCTGTTGGAAAATAACCTGTATTACCACAAGATAAAATTCTACTGTGAGTTCCTTGCTGTGTTGTCGTCTGTACTCGGTGATTTATTCTTAGTAAAATATCTCTATTTCTCCTTACTCAAATATTAATCTTGGTAAACTCAGATAATATCTTCGCCTAATAGCTTACTAAACGAGTTTGATATCTCAACAATTATAATCTTAAGATAGAAATAATCCAGCGTAAAATTTTCTTATCCAGTTTCGGGTTTCCATAAAAAGGAAAAAGAGCACTTATCGGATCACTCACGAAATAGCTGTCTCGCATATCATACAGGGTGTAAAAGACTTTTTGACTAAAACTTTAATGTAGTACCCAACTTAAAGATTTTTTGGAAATGAAAGCAATTTCGTCCGCGTAGAAGTCGAAAACGTTCTCATAGGTTTTTTTAAATGTTTTATAACGTTATGAACTTTTTTAACTCGTACTTAATTTTTTATGAGGTAAAAATTATAACCATATGATAGTTGTCCCCTAATCGATGATAAGATAGACTCCAAAAATTATAATGCTAAGGTTTATTTCACAGGTTGACTGTTATATTGTTTTGCATAAAATTTATACTTATCACCCTATATTATTTAGTTGAGAAAACTATACAGATAGATACTGTTATCTAATAGGTGTGAAATTTCCAAAGCACTTATTTTAGACCACTATTGTGCTCTTACTATCGCTGTGAGATCTTCGACGATTCGAAATAGATTATTTCGCGCAGTGAGCACGTACCGACGTCGTCTCAACGTTATAACGTGCAATTTAAAAGAAATACTAGATTTTATACCTAATACTCTGTACAAGTGAACTAAATTTTGGAAAACTCAAAATATCTTTCAATGGTTTGAAGTCTTTTCTTTCTTGTGTATCAATGGTAAATGGAAATGTATGCACGACAGAAATTAAGCAATACAATTTGACACCTTATGTGTTCTAGCGCTTATTTCAGTCAGTGCCTGAGGAATGGGAACGGCACGAGAAGAGTGACATTGATGTGAGAAAGCATAGAAATCTAAAGCTTATACATAAGTCTCACTGACATTTATTTTGACGTCTCAAAAACGCCCTCTTCGTGCCGCTCCCATAGTTACCGCAGGCACTGACTGATTTAAACGCTAGAACATAGTTGTATGTGTTGTAGACTGAACTGAACCAATCCATTAATCAGCTATTTTTGATTCTAAAGTAAAAGCATGTTCAATACATCTAAATAACCGACTTACTGTAGTGGAGCCCAAACTCAGTAGGTATTAAAGTTACAAAGAATTGATTAACTTCTACCTACTCTTTATCATTTTTGACACCTCCCATTTTCCACATCATTTGAGTTCGGCTACCTGAAAAAGTTTTCGGTGTTACAATTGATGTGATTTTTCAAAGTTTTCTCGAGTTTTCAAGTTCTCGGCGTCTTTCAATTGAAATTGGCGATTGAATTACACTGTGTAAATGATTCAAACAATTTAGGGTTCACTTTTGTTCTACCCAATATTGACTTTCGTACTTTTGTTTATACAATGAAACCTACAAGTTATTTTTGTGTTGTTAACTTTACGAGTCTTCCAGTGACTTGGCTCACTTTTAGCTTGGGCCACAGGCCAAATCACTTGATTGAATTTTTAAATAGATTTTCTTCCAGTGATTGGGCCCACCTTCAATGTTTTATTATTATATTATACACCAAATCAACAAAACTCTATTCTAGAATCTTAGTGGTGAGCCCAGTCCCTGAAAGAAAAACTATTTAAAAATTCAACCCAGCCAGAAACTTGGCCCGTGGACCAAGCCAAAAGTGGGTCAATTCACCGGAAGACTCAATTTTACGTCGAGCTATTTCGATTTACAGTAACATTAACAGCCCTCATCGTAATTTATAAGGATCACGTGTAACTGCACATGCAAGCCCCGCCATAAACTGTAGAGCACGGCAGGGTATTGTATTACATAATGCTATTACCATAATGAGCATATTGATCTAAACGCCGTACACTAATTAGGATTTAATAGTGTGAAATAGTACCTATGGTTATTAGAATATAATATGTCAGACCTGTGGGTGTACAATCCAATACTGATAATTGTGTACGAGTAAATACATGTCATATTTATGGCAAAGAGAGTTTTACTAATATTTATTTTTGCCAATTTATTAAAGAACACAATAAGTACCTTATAAATAGAATAGGCAAATATGATATGTTTTGTTTACTAACAACTCATAATATTTTAAGATTTTCCAGATTCGGTATTAACATTTTGTGTGTAAAATGTTTTGATCCAATTTTATCACATTTCTAACAAATTATTAAAAAAAAACAAATGAACATCATAATCTCTCCAATGACTTATCTCATTCAAATACAAAAATTGATCTCGCGTGAATTTTATTGCCTACAGTCACGTGTGCCTGTATATTGGGATCACTACAAATTGAATTGTCTGCCAAATACAGGGGTGCTGCGATGCTTTTTGCCTACGGATTTTTTCAAACTAACACTGCCACTTAAAGCGATTGTTTGTTATTGGATTGAACGTCGCTCTGGTGACTGCCGTTTTAACTTTGAACCTGAAATTCTTGAAATTTTCACGTATAAAATATTATGAAATCGATTTGAATTCTTTAATTCTAAGCTTGGGTGAATACACTGCCATTGAAGAGACTTTCTTTAAAGATGACAGGTGTATTCCCTCATTTCCCTCTAACTCCTCTAGCTAAACTCAAGCTTGTGTGAGGAGCGAATTCATCACCAATAAGTAGGTACATATATATTTATTCTGCGGCAATTGGTACAACTGCCAAGGATATAAATTGATCCTTGTTGATGACTGAACATCAACTGATCAATTTAGCGATCCGTGGCAGTCTGACATCGAAGCCTCTAGTTTTCTTTTTCAGATAAAAGAGTTAAATAAACGAAAATTCCAAAGAGTATTTTTTCTTCCACAGAGCGTCCTGTCCATCGTCCCTCTTTCACACCTGGGAGACGCTTCTTCAAGAAGTCGAAGCTGATGTGGTGGGCTACAGCAACGCGGCTGCCTCTCTTGAGAGGCTGGTGGCTACTCCACTGGTGGAGAAGACCTTCCACATGAAAGTTCAGGCGCGAAAACTCTTCGCACACCGAGAGGGCTGCGAAGTGATCCTTGCTAAGGCCGACGACCAATTGACTAAGGTAAGTTTGAGCTGCTGAGAGCTTTACTACAGCAGAGTAAATACAAATGAGTAGGTTATCTTCATAGAAACGCACCGAGCGCGGTTCGTATGTGAGCGCGCCAACGTATACGGCGCGCACGCACACACTGACAAAATTTAGCGTGGACTAGCGGGTAGTTGCGCCGTTTCTATGAAGATAACCTACTCATTTGTATTTACTCTGACTACAGCCCGTTCAAGTTAACTGCGCACCCGTGACGTCACATCGATGCTCTGGTACGAACGGGGCGAACGCGGGGAGATGTGCGGATGAGTGAGAGCGAGAGAATAACTATAACTCAGTTTGCCATAAGTAGAATAGGTAGGCCTATAGTTTGAAGTTTTGACAAAACTATGGAAAATAGCTTTTGCCCGCGGTTTCACCCGCGTGAAATTTAGTTTGTCACAGATCGTCATAAATTATAGCCTATATGTTATTCTGGGTAATAAACAATAATACTGTAAAGTTTCATCAAAATCCGTTCAGTAGTTTTTGCGTGAAAGAGTAACAAACATCCAGACATTCAGACATCCAAACTTTCGCATTTATAATATTAGGATTATTACCTATAGTAGGATTGCGTCAGGTATGCGAACTAACCTAAACTAACTCTTGGTTCTTGGTCTGCAACCCGCATTAGACTTACTTTACTTAGGCTGAGTTTCACCACCTTATTTTAACCGTAACAATAACAATAACCGGTGCTATTTGAATGGAGTTTGACAGATCTTTGACATTTGCCAAAGTTAAAGTAAGATGGTGAAACTCAGTCTTAGTTATAATTTTCTTTTCTTTTTTGGGCAAAGACATCAAATTGTTAAAGTTTCTAGGAATGTTTGAGGTAAAAATAGAAGTTTTGATTCATTGTCTAGTCGTTTATATTAACTTCGACACGCCACGTGTATGTAGGCAGACACTATGGAAGGAATATTCCATCACCACGCGATTGTCAAGACATAATAGTCAACAATCTATTTATAACCATATTTTGGGTAAATTAAACGTGAATGATTGTGTATTTATTTATAAGGTAATTATTGAATGAACACATGAATCTCGCAGGCGTGGGCTAACAGATAATGATGTGTCAGAAAAATTATATATTCATGTACTCGTAATTTAGGCAATGACGTAGTTACTTTACAAAATATTTTTATTAACTATCCTTCTTGAACAAACCTCCATACGCGTAGGTGTTGTGAATCTATTTATTTTGTTGCAGAAAAGAAACAAATGAACTGTTTTCAATAAACACAACACTGATAATTAAAAATGTGATTAAAGCTATTTTTACTCAATGTCATAAGAAAATTATTGTAAAGCTTATTTGACTTAAAAAAAACCTTACCTACCTCTAAAAAAATCCAAAACTATTATTTGCCTAAATTAGGCAAAACTGAAGCGAAAACTAATCCTTACCTCACATGACGCAGCTCATTCGCTTTAATATAGTAATTTAAGTTTGTAAAGTAACGTTTTCACCCACTTTGGCTAATGTAGTTCGTTTAACCATAAAATAGAAATACACAGAAACCTCAATTGAGAAGATTATTGAAACAATCCTTTATGTTGACCACATATAAGTTCCTAAATTGATTTCAATGTTGCTAAAATCTTTTTTGTAATATTTGGACCACGTTCGTCATTTATTCCCGTCGCGTTGTCGTCGAATTCTAGCTTCGTGCACCAATATTTATGGAGTAATGTGTACCACATTAGGCAATAGGTCCGTGTAGAAAAACTTTCACAGTGCAAAAGCTCTTCGGATCAAGCAACTCTACTTCGTTCGTTTCAGCCGAAAAGACGTCCACTGCTGAACAAAGGCCTCCCCCAAGGTTTTCCACAAAGACCGGTCCTGTGCCGCTCGCATCCAGGCACCTACCGCGACCTTCACCAGATTGTCGGTCTACCTAGTGGGAGGCCTGCCCACGCTACGTCTTCCGGCTTGTGGTCGCCACTCAAGAACTTTCCTGCCCCAGCGGCCATCAGCTCTACGAGCTATGTGCCCCGCCCACTGCCACTTGATTTTAGCGATTCTGCGGGCTATGTCAGTCACTTTGGTTCTCCTGCGGATCTCGCTTACTACCTAGTTATAATATATGCTGTTTACCGTAAGCTAATGGTTTTTTGTAGGTTACGAAGTATTCCAGCCAACCTTTTACTCGTTCTCAAGCTTCATGCGTGTTTTTTTTTTTGTAATAAACCTACTGTAGTTATCTGCAGTAGGTATAACCTTAACTCGCGTAAAACTGACCCTTACCGAGATATGGCAAGTCACGTGAATAGCCAATTACCCGCGGCTCAACACGAGAATGATCAATTTATAATGAAAGGAGTATTTACTTTAAACAAATACTTAATAGGCACATAATTTGGTTTTAATTTCGACTGTGTGCAGAGGCGTGCTGAGCAAATTATGACAAGCTATGGTGAAAATACACAAAGCAAACTCTAAGTCCGTCATAGATTCTGTCCTGTGATTGATTTAAATTCAATAAATGAAAGTCCTGAATAAGTTTAATTAAAGACATTAAGTACAATTTCGCGTTTTGCTTCGGTACTCATAATATGGCCCAGTTGTCCTACTATAGATACAATTAATAGACAATTAATTAACTAAAAGTCGGTGGTCTGCGCGCCTAGGCTGTGTTTATGTATTCGTCAAAGCCTTCAATATTTCAAATTTAACTGTAACAAAATGTATTCTAATGAATATAACTGTCGTCTTACTTGGCTGGTTAGCGAAGTAGTCTAGATTAAACGGGAATGGCAGGCAATGTAATTGACAAAAGAGCAATATTAAGAGCCATTTAGATTAGCATAAAAGTTCGTTCATCCCATTTGTGTCCATTAGAAAGATGATCGTCAACTGCTATCTGGGACGCCATGTTTGAACCTTTAGTTATCCTACATTTAAATAAATAGAGAAAATATTATATTTGCCCCCAAACTAGACAGGGTGACTTTGCAGTGTTGCCAAATTTTTAGGAGCGACTGAAAATCCGGCACTTAACCTTGTAATTTCACCCTGTATACTACCTACCATTTCAAAAGACTTACTTTACTATCTTTGAGACTTTCATGTATGGTATATTAATTAGGTAGAAAACATAAACACAACAAAAGTCAAAATTCATAAATTCATATTATTAAACAACAGAGAGATGTCCTCCGCACATTATATTGATTGAATGAATAAATGAGTAAGCACTTTATTATACATATTCAGTTTCTGGGAACAGTAAAATATTATTCTGATAATGTTAATGGATTTTACTATGAAGCAATTTTCTCGTGAAATATGAAATAGATATTGCGACCGACCACCGACATGTCCCATATACAAGCAGCGTTCATATTTATGTGATAAATTTTAAACATAGCGCTATAAAACTACTTACTTCACTATAACACTAGTGACATTCATCCTCTATATTACTTTGATAAGTTCCATATTGAATCCATTGAAACTAATTAAAATAATACTCCTAGTGGAAATACATTTTGAATCTCGTGTCAAAATACAGTAGGTATGATTCCTCAATAGCATCTTAGAAAACCCCTATTCTATCTTTAGGCGAAAAGGATATGTTTATACTTGTTTATAGAATAGATAATAACAAAAAAACATAAGCCTTTTATAACATGACCACTGAAAATAAAACTTTCGTGTTTATTTCTACACTTTTGACTGCTTCACAGACGTATCCTCTTGGTTTATGTAAATCCACTATTGAACATGGTAAACAGTAAATCCTGGATTTTCCACAAGGAAACTGATGGAAATTCGTATCGTATTCCGAGCAGATTAAAATAAAACAAACAGAGAACTTACGATGTTAAATTCATTCTTCCATGCGGAGCTATCTCCAACTATACTACCGAAATGTCGACGCTACTAAATTATTCAACAGGGAATGCATCCGTAAGAGCAGTAAAACTCGGAGCATTCACATCTGTTCCCGAATTATATGCAAAAACTAAGTTAATATTAAAGATTCGGAAGTAACTCAATCGTTTAAAATTGGCCTTTCATAACATTTTATTTAATTAAAGTTAGATCGTTCTAGTAGAGTTTAGTAGAGGTCCCTAACTGGGTCCACATTGTATAAGTAACTGCCTTTTTAAGACCAAATGTGATAGCAAAGCAATGAACGATTGAATATTGAAGATGCCTTCTTTCTTTCTCTTTATTATTTTATGAGAACACGATTTATTTCAACAACATCTTCATATTTATCCCTCAGGCGATTATTTTAAAAGAAATTGTTTCATCCGATTCTCTCAATCGGAACAACATTTTGTACACAAATCCTTATAAGAATAATTCATATCCCTTTGATCTCGCGCAGGATCATTTTTATTCGTTTCTTTTTCTTAATGTTTGGGTAACATTTCGTTGGAGCATACTTGTAATTTTGTATTTTCAAAGTGTGTCGCTTTTATGAGACATGTAACAACAAAATCAAATTACCTAATGTCAAGGAGCGTATCTCCTGTTTAGGTACGGAATATACATTTAAAATGTATGTTAAATTATTAAATAAGTAGACAAAGTTTGTAACAGTCGGAGTTCAGTTACCAATTTAGGTTTTAGATCTGATTCCTAATTGGAAACAGGCTTTGTTCAATGAATTGTTACACGGCTATTGTTCAGAATTTCGATTATGTTTAAATAAACAGTGACGAGACTACAATTCAGTGTTTATATCCAGAATATCCGTATAGTGTGGTTACCATTGTGCTACATGATATTGGCTGTCGCCGATAGGAGCTTTCCATCAGCAAAGCGAATATACTTCGGATTAAATAACGGTCTTTACTTCTTTAGTTATAATGACAATGAAATGCACCTAGCATATTGTAGGGAATAATGTTCTAGAATCTAGATTAATATACTTAAGATATGGGATAAAACTAATAACATAAATGTTTTAGCACAGGCTAATAAAAAGTTGTGTTAGAAATGCTTAATAAAAGTATGTTGTAAAACCGTACAGCGTAGGTAAAAGTATATTATGCCTACCAAATCTGAAACTTACTATAAGTGTAGTGTCATTGCCCATTGTGCTTTCCGATAGCCAGGGACCGAATCCTGAATGTTTTTAAGAGCCATTTCACAAAAATATTCCGCGCGAATTTAGGTAAAAGCTGTCAACGCAACGTCAAAAGAGTAAAAAGAACGCTGAAATGGACAAAAAAATCTTGAGCCGTGACCGTATTAAGACTTGATTTAAGTTATTAATTTTAAGGTAGAATGAGGTATTCAAACTTGAATAAATAATTTAAATTTTTAATAGAGTTTATTAAGTCTTATATTTCGATTCNAGAGAGGTCAATAAGTCAAAATGACTAGCATGCAACTACTCGCGTATAAATTGTAATCACGCACTTATTACAATACATACATGATTAGTCCGTATGCGTACTGGCGATGTATATTTTGGAGGAAGATAATTGACCTAAGTCACTACAAAGTATACGCGAGCAGTACGCAGCGTATGCGTACTGGTCGTGTATAGTTTGGAGGAGCTTAGTAAAAAAAGTCATATCCAAACTATACTCGATTAGTTTCACACCCTTGCGTTCTGGCTATGTATAGAAAGACGCCTTGTCGTATGACGAAACTTAAATTAAATAATACTTTTTCATTAGATAATACAACTCTTCTGAAACTTTCAATCTAACTTAGACTGAGACTTAACCCCAGCTACATTTATAATCTCACCTGAAGAAGATTTAAAAGGATCCACCAACTACTCAGAAGTTCTTTTGATATCTTAAGCTATTGCAGAAAATGCAATATAATTTCTGTAGCTAGACCGCTAGGTGTAAATAATGTGGTACTCAGCCTTCATTCAATCTCGTCTGTCCATTAGGTTACATTGCCTCGAAATATAGCTTAAATTTGTGTGAAATGGGACAAGAATTTAGATCTATTGCTCGAGCCCAAAGTCGCGGGTAAAAAGCGGACCTCCGTCCGAATGACGGACACTTGAGAAGACAAATGGCTATTTAAACGGCCTACGAAGATAACGAGAAAGTTAGACGTTTCCTTAATATGTTGAGAGCCTTTTGACATACTTATCAACAATCACAGAGTAATATTAGATGTCCTATACTGGGGGCGTAGTGTGAGTTTGCTTCAAACGCATTCGACGTCGACTGCATTTAAAATATGTATGACAATTTTAGATTTTTAAAGTTTCCGCTAGTGGCGCTGTACATTATGTAATT